TTTTTGTATTTTAGTAGAGACAGGGTTTTACCGTATTGCCCAGGCTGGTCTTGAACTCCTAAGCTCAGGCAATCTGCCCACCTCGGCCCCCAAAGTGCTGAGATTACAAACATGAGCCACTGCCCCCAACCCATGCATGTGAATTTATGGTAGAAGAATTTATATTCCTTTGGGTATATACCCAGTAATAAAATTTCTGGGTTAAATGGTAACTCTGTTTTAAGTTCTTTGAGAGATCACCAAACTGCTTTCCACAATTGCTGAATTTAGATCACCACAGTGTATACGCCTTCCCTTTTCTCCACAAACGCAGCAGCATCTCTTATTTTTATCTTTTTTTTTTTTTTTTGCTTTTTAGTAATAGCCATTTTGACTGGTGTGAGATAGTATATCATTGTGGTTTTGATTTGCATTTCTCTAATGGTTAGTGATGTTGAGCATTTTTTCACATACTTATTAACCGCATGCATGTCTTCTTTTGAAAAATATCTGTTCATGTTTTTGTACATTTTTTAATGTGGTGGTTTGTTTTTTGCTTGTAAATCTGTTTAAGTTCCTTACAGATTTTGGACAGTTAGACCTTAGTCAGATGCATAGTTTGCAAAATTTTTTCTCATTCTGTGGACTGTACTTTTACTCTGTTGATAGTTTGTTTTGCTATGCAGAAGTTCTTTAGTTTAATCAGGTCCCTTTTTTTTATTTTTATTTTTATTGCAAGTACTTTTGGCATCTTTATCATGAAATCCTTGCTAGGTCCTCTGTCCAGAATGATATTTCTTAGGTGACCTTCAAGGGTTTTTATGCTTTTAAGTTTTACATTTAAGTATTTAATCCATCTTGAGTTGATTTTTGTATATGATGTGAGGAAGGGGTCCAGTTTCAATCTTCCACATATGCCTAGCCAGTTACGCCAGCACCATTTATTGAATAGGAAGGACTTTCCCCATTGCTTGTTTTTGTCAGCTTTGTGAAAGATCAGATGATTGCAGGTGTGCAGCATTATTTCTAGGCTCTCTATTCTATTCCATTGGTGTATGTGTCTGTTTTTGTACCAGTACTGCACTGTTTTGGTTACTGTTTTTTCTTTCTTGATAGTATTCTTTAACATAAAAAAGTTTTAAATAATGATGAAGTCCAATTCATCTGTTTTTGTTGCTGTTGTTTTTGCTGTTGCTTGTGCTTTGGGTATCATATCTAAGAATCCATTGGCAAATTCATTGTCATTAAAATTTACCGGTATGCTTTTGTCTATGAGTTCTATGGTTTTAGTTGTCATTTTTAGGTCACAATCCATTTTGAGTTCATTTTTGTCTATGCTGTGCAGTAGGGGTCCAACTTCATTCTTTTGCCTATGGAGATGCAAAATTTGTTCCGTGACAATTTGTTGAAGAGACTCTTATTTTGTAGATATTTGACAAGTTTCTGTATACAAGAAAACATCATCTATGGATAGATGTATATAGAATCACAACTGATATATATGTGTCGATCTTGTACCTGCAACTTGGCTAAATTTCTTTATTAGCTTTTCTACTTTTTTATATCAAAATCTTTATGTTTTTTTATAGTTACCATATTTTACAAATTACTTTGCTTATCATATTTTTCTTGTGTCACAATTTTCTTCTCTGGGTTTATTTTTTTTCTTGAGAGAATTTTTTTTGTTTTTTGTTTTTTTTTTGGACACAAAGTCTCTCTCTGTCACCCACACTGGAGTATGGTGGCACAATCTCTGCAACCTCTGCCACCCGAGTTCAAGCGATTCATTTGTGTCAGCCTCCCGAGTAACTGGGATTACAGGTGCTTGCCACTACACTTGGCTAATTTTTGTAATTTTAGTAGAGATGGGATTTCACCATCTTAGCCAGGCTGGTCTTGAACTCCTGACCTCGTGATTCACCTGATTCGACCTCCCAAAGTGCTGGGATTACAGGCATGAGCCACTGCACCCAGCCAAGAGAATTCTTTAATTTTTTTTTTGAACAATAGCTTGGAATGAATTTCTACTTAACCAGTTAGTTTCTCTCAATACATTGAAAAATATATCTAAATTATTGTCTAACATTTACTGTTAATAATAGAAAGAATTCTATTGGTTTAATTAGAATACCTTTTCAATTAACCTATATTCTCTCTGGTGACTTTGTAAGATCCTCTATGTTCTGTAATTTTAGTATAAAGTACATAGATTTGGATTTACTTATTCTGTTTGATCCTTAGCTCTTTTGTTTTTCAAAAGTGAAAGAACTTTTAAATATCTTTTCCAGTAATGCTTTTCATCATTTTCTCCATTTTATCTTCTGGAAACATTACCTAGACCAGCGGTCAACAAATTTTTCCTGCAAAGGGCCAAATAGATATTTTAGGCACTGCAGGCCATATAATTTCTGTTACAACTACTCAAGTCTGCCACTGTAGCAAATAGCACACATCGATGATGTGTAAATGAATGGACCTGACTTTGTTCCAATAAAATTTTATTTACAAAAAATAGGCTGTGGGCTGGATTTAGCCTGTAGGCTATAGTCTGCTGACCCTTAACTTAGACAAATACTTGTATCTTTTCATTTAACCTCCATGCTTACTTTTTACATATTTACATTTTTCTTCTCTTTATCTTGCTGTGACATATTCTGAGTGAATTATTCAAAGCAAGTATCCAACATCACTAATTATCTCTATGACTGTGTCCAGTCTAGAAATCTCATCCAGTAGACTTTTTAATTTCAATGACTACTTCTTCATTTCCAGTATTTCTCTTTGTAGCTCATCTCTGTCTTTTAATACATTGGTTGCTCCTTGTTAAATGTAACTTTTAGGCCAGGCACAGTGGCTCACACCTGTAATCCCAGCAGTTTGTGAGGCCAAGGTGGGCAGATCACTTGAGGTCAGGAGTTCAAGACCAGCCTGGCCAACATGGTGAAACCCCATCTCTACTAAAAATACAAAAAAATCAGCTGGGTAGCAAACCACCATAGCACATGTAGACCTATGGTAGTCCCTGAACTCCCAGACATACTCACCAGGAATTTAACTTCATCTTGTAGTTGGAGGAAATGAGAAGTGCTGGAAGCTTTCTCTCATCGTGTAATAAGGTAAGCTTTTATTGAGAGCTGAGGAAGAAGAAGCTTTATGTATTGGCCTCATGCATCCTAAATGAAAATTCTGTTAAACTGAACTGGAGTGGGCAAGAGAGAGGAAATGGATTGTGATTCAAATGCCACACATTCGCACACTATTCTGTTGTAGTATGTTTTATTGAATAAATGTTTCTTCCTTTGCTATATACTTATAGAACTATTCCAAGACTTTAGGTGGTTGCTTGTTTCTTTTCCTCTTTTCAATAGTTTTCATCAGCTTTTCATGTTTCACTGGGGAGTGCATCCTCAGAGGTCATCACACTATCTTCTTGGAATTGGATCTCTTGAATTTCAGTTTTAGAGGTAAGATAATTTAATGATGGAAGAAGGGGCTTCAAGATGAATGACTAGAGGCATCTGATACTTGCCTCCTGTATGAAGAGGAAGCAAAAGAGTTAGTAGATAGTCACACTTCAAATAGATTCCCTAAGAGAAAACACTGGAATTCAACGCCGAAGTGACAGGAAACACGTAACACAAGGAAGGAGAGAGAAGTGAGTCAGCCTGCTCGGCTGGAACTGGCTAGAATCTCAGAGAGGCTGCCTAATATGAGGAAAGGGTAAGTGATTGACTCCCTGTGGTCCACATATATCAAAATATGCCTACAACATAAAGTAGAACATTTTCAGATAAGCAATCTATGAATGTACCTCAGAAAACTACAAAAGCAGGGTAAGCCCAAACCAAAAATAGTAGAACAACTACTAAAAATTAGAGCAAAACTAAAGGATGTATACATTTAAAAAATTTTAAATATCAATGAAACAAAAATTTGGTTTTTTGAAAAGATAAGCAAAATCAATGAACCACTAGATAGTCTAACCAAAAAAAAGAAGAAGATGATTCAGTTAAATAATATCAGTAGTGAAAAAAGTCATAACAACTGATAGCACAGAAATGCAAAAGATTATCAGAGATTATTACTGACAATTGTACACTAACAAACTGAAAATGGATAAATATCTGGACATATACAATCGACCAAGAGATTGAATTAAAAAGAAATAGAAAACATGAATAGACAATAACAAGTAATAAGATTGAATCAGTAATAAAAAGCCTCTCAACAAAGAAAAGTCCAAGACTAGATGGCTTTGCTGCCAATTCTAACGAATTTTCAAAGAAGAACTTTCACCAATTCTCCTAAACTATTCCATAAAATTGAAGAGGAAGGATTTCTCTCTAACTCATATTATGAGGTCAGCATTAGTCTAACACCAACAGACAAGCATGCAACAAAAAAGAAAACTAAAGGCCAGTATCCCTGATGAACATAGATACAAATATCCTCAACCAAATACAACAGCAATCCAAGATAATGTACCACGACCAAGTGGGATTTATGTCAGCAATGCAAAGATGGTTCAACATATGCAAATAAATAAGTGCTGTACATCACATCAACAGAATGAAGGACAAAAACCACATGCCTCTCAATAGATGCAGATAAATTATTTTATGAAATTCAGCATCCCTTAATGGAAAAAAATTATCAAAAAAGTAGGCATAGAACAAACATACTCAACTTAGTAAAGGCATATACGACTATCCCATAGCTAAAATTATACTGAATTTGGAAAAGCTGAAAGCCTTTCCTCTAAGAATTGGAACAAGACAGGGAGGTCCACTTTCATCACTCATATTCAATATAGTATTGGAAATTCTAGCCAGAGAAATCAGGCAAGAGAAAGAAATAAAAGACATCCAAATTAGAAAAGAGGAAGTCAAATTGTCCCTCTTTGCAGACAATATGATCTTATATGTAGAAAAACCTGAAGAATCCACCTAAAGAACTATTAGAACTGATAAACAAATTCAGTGAAGTTGCAGGAGACAAAATCAACATGCAAAAAATCAGTAGTGTTTCTATACACCAATAATGAATTAGCAGAGAAAGAAATTAAGAAGACAATCCCATTTACAACAGCTATTTAAAAAACTAAAAAGAAATTAAGAAGACAATCCTATTTACAATACCTGTTAAAAAATCTAGAAATAAATATTGAACCAAAGCAGTAAAAAACCTAGACAAGGAAAACTACAAAACACGGATGAAAGAAACTGAGGAGGACACCAACAAATGGAAAGGCATTCCATGTCCATGGATCAGAAGAATTAATATAATTAAAATTACCCTACTACTCAAACAACTATATGAATTCAATCCAATATTTATTAAAATATTAATATTATTTTACACAGAAGTAGAAGAAATAGCCCTAAAATTTGTATGGAAGAAAACAGAGCACAAATAGCCAAATCAATACTGAGCAAAAAGAGCAAAGCTGAGGGAATCACACTACTTGATTTCAAAATATAGTATAGTAATAAAAACGCATGATATTGGTATAAAAACAAACACATAAACCAATGGAACAGAATAGAGAATCCAGAAATTCACCCACATATTTAGACAACTTATTTTTGACAAAGGAAACAAGAACATACATTGGGGAAAGGACATCCTTTTTAACAAAGGGTGCTGAGAAAATTAAAACTCCACAGCTGGGCACAGTGGCTTACACCTGTAATCGCCGCACTTTGGGAGGTCAAGGCAGGTGGATCACAAGGTAAAGAGATCAAGACCATCCTGACCAACATGGTGAACCCCAACTCTACTAAAATACAAAAATTAGCTGAGCATGGTGGTGCACACCTGTAGTCCCAGCTACTGCGGAGGCTGAAGCAGGAGAATCACTGGAACCTGGGAGGTGGAGGTTGCAGTAAGCCAAGATCATGCCACTGCACTCCAGGCTGGAGACAGAGCCAGACTCTGTCTCAAAAAAAAAAAAAAAATTGAAAACAAAAAATAAATTCCACATGCAGAAGAATAAAACTGGACTCCTGTCTCTCACCATATACAAAATCAAAACAAGATGGATTTAAAATTTAAATGTAAGATCTGAAACTGTAAAACCACCAGAAGAAAACATAGAGGCCAGGCGCAGTGGCTCATGCTTGCAATCCCAGCACTTTGGGAGACTGAGGCAGGTGGATAACTTGGGGTTGGGTGTTTGAGACTAGCCTAACCAACATAGAGAAACCCCATCTCTGCTAAAAATACAAAATTAGCTGGACATGGTGGCATATGCCTGTAATCCCACCTACTTGGGAGGCTGAGGCAGGAGAATCGCTTTAACCCAGGAGGTGGAGGTTGCAGTGAGCCGAGATTGTGCCATTGCACTCCAGGCTGGGCAACAAGAGCAAAACTCCATCTCAAAAAACAAACAAACAAAAAAGAAAACATAGAAGAGATACCTCAGGACATTAGTCGAAGCATAGATTTTATGGTTAAGACCTCAAAAAGCACAGTCAACAAAACCAAAAATAAATAGGACCATATTAATCTACGAAGCTTCTCCACAGCAAAGGAAGCAATCAACAGAACGTAGAGACAACATGTTGAATGGGAGAAAATATGTGCAAGCTCTTTATCAGACAAGGTACTAACATCCACAATATACAAGGAACTCAAACAACTCAACAGTAAAGAAACAAATAATCTCATTAAAAAGTGGGCAAAGGACATGAATAGCTATTTCTCAAGAGAAGGCCTACAAAATGCTGACAGGTGTATAAAAGCATCCTCAACATTAGTAATCATCAGGAAAATGCAAATCAGAACCACAAAGGCAAAAAAATAACAAATGTTGGCAAGGATGAAGAGCAAGGGGAATGCTTATACAGTGTTAGAGGGAGTGTAAATTAGTACAGCCACTCTTAAAAACAGCATAGAGATTTCTCAAAAAACTAAAAACAGAATTACTGTATGATTCACCAATACCACTACTGGGTACTTATCCAATGTAAGTAAATCATTACATAAAAGCAATACCTGTACTCCCATGTTTATTGCAGCATTATTCACAATAGCAAAGATATGGAAACAGATGGAAACAACCTAAGTGTCTATCAATAGACAAATGGATAAAGAAAATGTGGTATATGCACATATTAGAATGCTACTTGTCCATAAAAACATGAATAAAATCATGTAATTTGCAGCAACATGGATGGAACTGGAGGTCATTAGGTTAAGTGAAATAGACCAGGCACAGCAAGACCAATATTGCATGCTCTTACTCATATATGGAAGTTAAAGTATTTGATCTCATGGAGTTAGGGAGTAGAATGATAGCTACTAGAGGCTGGGAAGGGTGTGTGGGTTGGAGGAAGGAGGATGAAGAGAAGTTGGTTAATGGGTACAAACACACAGATAGAAGTAAGTTCTAGTGTTTGATAGCAGAGTAGGGTGACTATAGTTAATAATGTATTGTTTCTTTCTTTCTTTCTTTCTTTCTTTCTTTCTTTCTTTCTTTCTTTCTTTCTTTCTTTCTTTCTTTCTTTCTTTCTTTCTTTCTTTCTTTCTT